AGCCGGGAGCCTGGGGGGGCGGCATGGTGGGCCGGGCAGGCGTTGGGCGCTTGGCTGCAGAGGAAAGATGAGGGGGATTAGGTGTTCACCAGGCCAGTGGCAGCTCAGGACCACGTCTGTGCCCTTCCGTCTGCTGGGGATGCATGTCTTTGCTGGCTCCTCTACTACGGCCTCCCTTCGTTTCCCTGGTGGCCCTGGCCAGGACAGTAGCTCCGCTTTCTCGTCCTCACGGGGCTTTTCTCACTGTCTCCCTCACTAAAAGGCCATTGGAGGTGCTGCTGGCCCGCCCGGCACCCGCGTGGGCTGGGGTTTATAGTGAGTGAATGAATGAAGGCCGCTGTCCTGTGACAAGGGTCTTGTTCACCTCCTTGGAAAGCCTACCAGAACTACCCCACCCCGGTTTGTAAAGGCCCCACGGTGAGGCAGCCCAGGGGCTGGTGGAACTAGGAGGACAGGACTGCAGTCCTAGTTCCACCGACTAGGGAGTTGGGGCCCCAGTTTCCTTGTTGGCAAGAGCGGTGAGCGATTTGAGGACCAGCTCCGTGATGCCCAGACAGCCTTTGGAGCACGTCAGGTGCCATGCTCAGGTAAGCCACCGTACCACTGGCCCCCATCGAGGGAAGGTGGCGAAAAGGTCCCTGTGCCACCTGCCAGCTCCTGCTGGTCCAGGGACTCCCACAGTTGCCCCATCTGCTTCTGGCTCCACACAGAACACCTGGCTGGAAAACTCCAGCGTCTCCTGAGGGAGCCTGGCCTGGGGGGCTTCCCAGGTGTGTTGCTCTCGGATGGGGTCTCCCCACCCAAGCCTGTGGCCTTCTCACCTGTCCAGCTTCAGGTCAAGCTGAAGGGAGTGTACCAGAGCCACTCAGAAGGAGGCTCCCGGTTTCTTCCCACCCCTTTGAAGATCCCTTCTTCCCTGCACTCTGATCTCCAGGCTTCTCGAGGGACTGGACTCTGATGCCCAATGCTTACAACGGCTAGTCAAAATCAAGCAGCACCCCACATTCTCTGCACAGCTCGACACGAGTTACTGTGTTACTCCACGGCAGAGGAAGCCGAGGCTGACAGGTGACTCACCTTGCCCAGGCTCCCAGACTGCAACCTGAACTCAAATCCCGGGCTTTCAATGGCCTCAGTCCTGGTCTCCCGGGTGTCTAAGAGGGGATGGCCTGGGATCTCCCACCCACTGTCCCCTTTCCATCTCCCATGACCCACTCACTCTTCCGAGCCACGTCCTCCCCTGGAGCAGCTGTCTCTGGCAGACTCCTGTTGACCTTGGGGGAGGCTGACCTGGGGGGCACCTCCGACTCTGTCCTGTGAAGGGAAGGAGGTCAGGGTCAGGTGTGTTGCCTCCCAGAAGTCTTCCTGGAGTTGTGGCAAGACTTCCGGCCGCCAGGTAGAGCACCAGGAGTGTTCTCTGCCCCCGTGTGCTGCCTGGGACCTGTCCCCAGGTTGCTATGTGACCCTGCAACATGGTCCACGTTCCCCCGGGGCCAGGGAGGCCTCTCAGCCTGCCTGCTATGGAGGGTCAGGATGGAGCTGGGATGGAGGTGGGAAGCAGGGCCTCCCCTCTGCTTCAGCTCTCAGCCTCCACGTGATCTTTAGGGGATGTTCTGGCATTACCAGATAGGAGGTGAGGCGGAAGGGGGCCTGGGTTCATCCTTGCTTCCTCAGATCTCTGCTTGGACAACTCTTCCCCAGGCCTCCCTGACCTCGCAGCTAATGCAGCCCCATGCCACCCTGGTCTGCAGTGTCCCCTTCACAGAGCCCGGCCCCGCCTGACAGTGCCAAGGTGTTTATGGATCCCCTCCCCAGCGCCCCGGAGTGCAAGCTCGGAGGGCATCTTTCTGTCTTGCTCGTCTGAGGAAGTTCACGGCCTGGCCCCAGCGGTCTGGGCACACTGAATAATACCTGCTTTGCCAGGTCGAAGGGATCCAGGGGAGAACCGAAAGGCATTTACAGTGATCCTCTCCTGGCCCCTTCGGTCCCCAGGGCCCCAGTGCCTGGCACATAGTTAACTGCTCAGTAAAGAGCTGCACAAGAGCAGGGATGATTGCTCCCCCCCCTGTGAAATGGGGACTAGGCTTGGAGTTAAATGATCAGTAATTGGGGGCCCGCAGGGGGCACGGTGGTTAAGGTGCTGGATCCCACATGGCTAACTGCTCAGTTCGAGTCCCAGGCCCAGCAGCTTGAAAATCGCACCACGCACGTGCATGCCCAAAATCCCAAGAAGGGACTGTGGGGCGGTCATTCCCCTGGGGTGATTTACTTCCCCTTTCCCTCGCTGTCTCTGGTGAGTGCATGCACCCTATAGCAAACACTTTTTTTTTTAAAAGGAATTATTTTATTTAACATTTATTTATTCATTATTTATTAATTTTAATTTGACCAGAGAGGGATGGGGTGGGGAGGAATGAGAAAGCAAGCCACCAGGTCTGGGACTCAAACTGCAGCCCACCACGTGGGAGTCTGGCACCCTTAACCACCACACCACCTGCTGGCCCCTAGAGACACTTTTTAAAAAAATCAATAATTCAGGCTGGCAGGTGGCATGGTGGTTAAGGTGCTGGACTCCCACGTGGCTGACCACGGTTCAGGTCTCGGACCTAGCGGTTTGCTCTCTTACTTCCTCTTTCTCTCCTTCTCTTGCCAAATTAAATAATAATAACAACAACAAATAAAGTTAAATAAATGAATATTTTTAAAAAATCAATAATTGGGGGGAACAGCAAATGGCGTTAATGGTTGTGTCTTTAGACTCTCACCCATTCAACTATGATTTGAGTCCCAGACCTAGCAGCTTAAAACTCACGCCCAGGGGACCAGCAGATGGCGTAATGGTTACATCGCTGGACTCCTATGTAGTTGGCTGCAGGACCTGGTGGCTTAAAACTCACGCTGGGCACGTGTGCATGCGTGCCCAAGATATCTCGAGAGGAGAATGGAGAAGGGATTGTGGCACGGCCATCCTCCCAGGGGGTGATTTCTCACTTTCTGTTTCCTTCTCTCTCTTTGTCTTTCTGGTGAGTGCACATACCCAACAAACTATAAAAAAAAAAAAAAAAAAAAGGGATGGGGCTGGCAGGTGGTGTGGTGGTTAAGGTGCTAGTCTCCCATATCATAATCTGCAGTTCGAGTCCCAGACCTGGTGGCTTGCTTTCTCACTTTCCCTTTCTCTCTGTCTCTCGCCAGTCAAATTAAATAATAATAAAAAAGTAAAATGAAATAAAAACGATTATTTAAAAACCAAAAAAATCACACTGGGTGCATGTGCGTGCATGCCTAAGACCCAGAGAGGAGAATGGAGAAGGGATTGCAGCGTGGCCATTTCCCCCGGGGGATGATTTTTCGCTTTCTGTCTCTCTGTCTCCCCTGCGAATACATGAGCCCTATAACAAAAATCTCTCTCTAAAAATAAATAAATAAATAATTACGTTTCCTGAAATGTGCAGAGTCCTCAGAAATCGTGCCTCAGGCTGAGTGCAGAGCCAGGACAGGGAACATCATACCCCTCAGCCCTCACCTTTCTTTGGCAGTCGCTGGGGCCAGTGCTGGGGCTGGGGCTGCAGCTGGAACTGGGGCTGGAGTGGCAGTTGGAACAGGGGTGGCAGCTGGGGCTGGGGTGGCAGCTGGAGTGGGCATGGAGGACCCTCCAGGTGACTCCTCGGAGGCCGGCTTGCTGCTGGCCGTGCCCTGGGGAGCGAGGGCCGAGAAGAGGCCTGACACGTTGAAGTTGATGTCTGCAGAAGGAAGGAGCGTTTGCTTTCAGAGCCTCGGCCGTGAGGCCCCCTTCCTTTCCCTGAGATGGCCTGGCCCACGTGCTGCCTTCCGGTTTGCACATGAGCCTCCCAGCCATTCCACAAAGCCGCCAGGACCATCATCTTTGTTTTACAGAAAACCAAAGGCCTGAGTGGAGGAGCAACTTCCTCCAGGCCTCACGGTGTTTATGGGGCTGCCCGGGACTGAGGCTGTCTGCAGGGCATGGAGCAGGCTGGAGGTGGGGCAGGGTGGGGGGGTTGTTCAAAGGCGGGAGCTTCACCTCCAGGGAAGAGGGTGTCTGCGTCCTGAATCAGCGCCTCCACGACGCCCACCACCTGGATGGAAGACACCGAGACTGCATCCAGCTGGGCCTGGTCCCTGGGACAAAGAGGCAGCACTGTGAGTCACCCCTCAGCAGAGCTGTAGTCACCCCAACTCTGTCTGGGCCTGGGCTGGGCACTGCAGACGAAGGAGCAAGTATATGAGTCTGTTCTCACAAAGCTCAGAGACCCCCCAGCAAAGGCCCCTGTGTCGTGTGCACCAGCTTCCCCGCCCTCCCCCGTGGCAGACATCATTAGTCAATCACGGATTTTGTCCTCACAGTCCCTGGACCTAGACAACCCTACAAACCACTGCTCAGCCCGAGAGGTAGCCTTCCTGCCCTCTGTGGCCAGATAATAAGGACTCCTCAGGTTTCATAGCACTGTCCAGCTTCTAAAACATTTCTTGGGACCAGCAGATGGCGTAATGGCTACGTCACTGGACTCCCGGGTAGTCGGCTGCAGTTTGAGTCCCGGACCCGGTGGTTTAAACTCACGCCGGGTGCGTGTGTGTGCGTGCCCAAGATCCTGAGAGGAGAATGGAGGAGAAGGGATTGTGGCATGGCCATCCCCCCGGGGGGAGATTTCTCACTTTCTGTCTCTGTCTCTGTCTTTCTGGTGAGTGCACTTGCCCTATAGCAAAAACCTCCATCCCCCCCCCAAAAAAAAACCTAAACAAAATTTCTTCATTTATTCTCTCATCTAATTACCACAGCAAAACCACTCAAAGTTGGGAGCAGGCCCTGTGCCCTAGTGGTTAAAGTAACTGGATTCTATATGGCCAACTGCATGGTTCAAATCCTGGCCCTAGCAGCGTGAAAAACACCATGGGGGGCAGCAGGTGGCATGATAGTCCAGGTGCTAGATCACTACATGGCTGATGATGGTTCGAGTCCTGGACCCGGCAGTTTGAAAATCACACCAGGTGCATGTGTGCCCCAAATCCCAAGAATAGAATAGAGGAGAAAGGATTGCGGTATGGCTGTCCCCTTTGGGGTGATTTGTCACTTTCCCTCTTACTGTCTCTGTTTTTCTCTGGACAGCACACGTGCCCTATGACAAAAACCTAAAAAAGGAAGGAAGGAAGGAAGGCACACAGACAGACGAAAAACATGCCACGTGTTTCTGGAGGAAAAGGGGTTGTGGTTTGACCACACCCTATTATAGGGTGCTTTGTCCTTGTCTGTCTGTTTCTCTCTGGCGAGCTCACATACCCTCTGCCAAAACTGAAAAAGAAAAGAACAAAAAAAGAACAGCCAGCCGGGTAGCATAGAGGTTAGGGCTGCTGAATCTCACATGGTTGAGGGAGCAGTTCAAGCTCTGGACCTGCGTTGGGAGATATACTGGGCAGATGTATATGCACGCCCAGAATCCTGAGAGGAGAATGGAGAAGGGATTTCAGCATGGCCATCCCCCAGGGGAGTGATTCCTCACTTTCCTGCTCTCCCTTTCCCTATAGTGCAGGTGCCCTATAGCAAAAACTAAACAAATAAACTAAACAAAAATCCCTGCCTATATAATTCTTCCCCAATTTACAGAAAAGGAAACAGAGGTCCAAAGAATGACTGCCCCAGTCCAGCTCTGGAAGGTGGTGGGTGATCCAGATCTAGAGCTCTGGGCTCCCAGCCCAGTGCACTAGGCCGCCAAGCACCCCTCAACACCATTACCCAGAATGCCTATCGCCAAAGCGCTGTGGGGTCCATGGTGCCTTTGGGCCACCTCAGCACAGCCTTGAGACTAGGAGAGCTCAGCAACCCCCCAGAATGGGGAAACGGAGGCCCAGGGGAGGTGCTGTACAGAAAGCAGAAAGGCCAACCCCCGCCCGTGGCCCTCACCCCTCTCTCTCTGGGGGCCACAGCAGGTTGGGCCCCAGGACGATGGCGATGTTGCTGGGTGTCATCTTGTTCACCTCCTGCTGTTCGGCCAGCTGAGCCAGGAACTTCATCAGATACCTAGGGCGGGAGGTAGGGCTGGGCTGGGCCAGGGCACCTGGGGCCCCGATCACCCAGGGGTACTGTGTCCCAGAACCTTCAAGCCTAGTTTCCAGGGTGGCAGTCACCACAGGGCACAGCTGTGAACTTTAATGGTCACACTGATGGCCTACAGGGGGCCAGCTGGGGTCGGCACTGCGCTGAGAACCTCCAGCCACCCTGTAGGCAGGGCTGTCACCAAAGGAACTGGATTTCCCAGAGGACGCTGGAGTCGCTGCCCGAGGCCACGTGGTGGCACAGGTGGGATGTGTGGCCAGGCAGCGTGGCGTCAGGGGTCAAGGTACTGTGCATCTCAATGACGGATAAAAGTCCGACTAGAACATCACAGCTGCAAGCTCATAAATGGGGCTTAGGACATGGTGGAAAGGCCAGGCTCGAACCCAGGGCCTGAGCCCTGCCAAGAGCCGGCTTTGGGGAGAGCTGGGGAGGCATACTGGGCTCACCTGAGGTTGCCGAGGTTCTCTCGGGGCAGGCGGCTGCATACCTCCTGCAGGGCCTCCAGCCGGGCCCCGGGTTCCTTCAGGCTGAGGAAGAGAGGCCATGAGCTGGCCAGGGCCACACCTGGGCAGGCCTCCCCCCTCCCCCACATGCTCCCACTTCCTCACCTGGCTGCCCTCATCCAATCGTCATAGAGGCCAAAGGTCATCAGGGGCTCTGGCAGCTCCCGCAGATAGGACTTGAGGGCACCTACGGCAGGGGGGCAGGGGCTCTGGCAGCTCCCGCAGATAGGACGCGAGGGCACCTGCGGCAGGGGTGGGGAGGTCAGGGGCAGCGCCACCCCTTCCACCCCCAACACCCCCTCTCCCCACACAGGACTCTCCAGTCCTGCTCACACTAATGTGTCTGGTCTGACGGCCTCTTTAGGGTACAGGCTCTTTTGAAAAGATGAAGGCTTGTGATCTTGTCCCCAGAAGAATGCACATACATTCAGGGGTTCACCATGAGCCCGACCCTGAGAACCCGATGTGTCCTTAGGGAACCCCAGCAGAACATTAGGCCTTGAAGACAAACTCTTCTGGGGCTGTGTGAGGCAGCTGATGCCCCCCGGCCCCATGCCTCCCATTCTGGGCCCTCTCCCCAGGGCTCAGACCAGCACCTGCCACTGCGTGGGGGTCAGAGCAGAACTCCTCCAGGCTGTGTGGGTCTGAGGCCATCGTCTGCTTGAGGCGCTTCAGCACTGAGGCTCCAGCGGCCAGACGGAAGAGGCCCTGGGTGCAAGGGAGCGGGTGGGGTCACAGGGGAGTGGGCAGGCAGGGGCCTGTCTCGCTCTTAGTTTCGGGTAGCTGCTGGCCCTCCCTGGGCCTGTGTCCCCACCAGTCCGATCGGCAGAGGGGACACCAGTGTCTGTGGACCCTCTCACTCTCAAACTCTAGAATGCTGAGCAACAGGTAGGGCTGGGAAGTCTGGGGGACCCCAGGGGCCCGGCCAGAGTGGGAGGGAGAAAGGAGGCCCTGGCGGGACCGTGGGCAGCCCATGTACTTCTACCTACACCTGTCCTCAGGAGAGGAGCCGACGTGCCAGCCCCACCAGGGTACAGGTGACAGAGAGGCCGCATGCCACCGTGACTGCAGGGAGTCTCAGCGCCACCTTCTCATGCACTTTGGCATGTTCCCACCTCCACCTCTGCCTCGCAAAACGGCGCCGAGGGCTTCCTGCATGGCTTACTGAGCTAACAGCGTAGGGCGAGGAAGCCAAAGGGCTCGCAGCAGAGCGCCCGGCCCTGAGTGTGCGAAGTAGGAGGTGCCCGCATGGCCGAGAAGCCGTGCCTCCCCAGGGGCCTGTATGCTAACGGACAGCATGGGGGACCATCGGGGGTGCCTGCCCAGCTCCTTCCCTGGCCCCAGTGGGCCCACCTCTTCCTTCATGCCCTCAGAAAGCAGCATCAAGACGCAGGCCTCGATGGGCAGGGCGATGTCCCGGCCCAGCTCCTGCAGGTGGCTTTGCAGCGGCACCCCATACACCCTGGAGGAGGGGGTGGTCGTCATCGAGGGGCAGGGGTCTGCAGGGATGAGACAGGTCAGCGGCCCAGGCTCCTCCCATCTGGGTAGGAAGGCAGGGGTGCCCCTAGGCATCCTCTAGTGGTCCCGCCTTCCGCCCCACTAGGCGCACCTCTGAAATCGTCCACCCTATGGCTCGAATCTGCCGCCTCACTGCCTCTGGCCTGAGCAGGCCACAGTGCCCTCCCCTCTGCCTCTAACGGGTCTCCCGGCTCGGGTCCTGTTCACTTCGCTCCATGCTCCACAGGCAGTCAGAGCATGCTCACTACCGCAAACCTCACCCAGTGCTCCCCTGCCCAGCACTCCCCCTCGGCTCCCTGCTGCCTTCTGGGATGAAGCCCTAGCAGGGCGGGGTCTGGGTGTGAGGTCAGTCCCTCTCTGGCCCTACCTGCTTGGTTCTGGTTGTCCTTCAGCTCAGCCAGGACTGTGTCCAGTGAGCTCAGTGACCTGCGATGGTAGTCAGCCTGGATCTCCAGCAGCTGCGGGGACCAGGGGACCCCCAGGACAGGTGAGTGAAAGAGAGGCGCCTCCCCCAGGGCCCACGGGTGCAGGCCCCCTCCCGCCATCTCCCAGGGGCCTCAGGGGCCCCTGGCTCTGGCCACCCGAGCTCTAGATGGCTGGAGCCGGTCCCGGACTCACGTGAATGAAGTAGTTGGCGTAAGAGTCCTCCTTGGTGGCGAAATGGTACAGGTCGGCCAAGTACTCGTCCTTGGGGACAGAGAGGGAAGAGCTTACGCCAGGTGGGGCTGCGGTCTGGAGGGAACACTGACCTGCCCAAGGCCGCACCACTGGATGTGGAGGGTCCCAGCTAGCTCCCCGCTCTCTGCCAAGGTGTGTGTGGGAGGCCCGCTTTTAGCAAGTGCTTTTCAGTTTTATTTCATTCACTCACCCTCCCTCCCTCCTCCTTGGGCAAACGTGTCGAGGCTCTGGTGACCTCTCAGTGTCATGCATATGGTATAGACAGAAGGGGCTACATGGCAGTGGCCCTGGGCCTGGCTGCTGGAGTCACCCCAGCTCTGCTCCCCTCACTCTGTGGCCTTGTCACCCCTCTGGGTCAGTTTCCTCCGCAGCACCCCCGCCTGCGCCCATCCAGGGGCCCGAGCCCCACCTTGCACTGCTCCACCTTCCTCTTCAGCTCCTCCTCCTCCTCCTTCAGCATCTCCACCTTGTTGCCAGCCGTGGTGTGGCTGCCGGGGCCGCGGCCCAGGCCTGGACCGCTGCCTGAGTTCTTGGCTGCCTGGCTGAGCCTGGGGATGGTCCCAAGTGGGTGGTCACCAGCCCTGAGCCAAGTGTCCCCTCCATCCTGACCGCATGCACGGAAATCCAGGATTTACAGGTGCAGATCCCAGCGCTCTGCAGCCGTAGGCCGTGAGCGCTCGGATCGCCCTCTGGTGGCAGTTTTGGTGATCACAGCCACTCAGCTACTGAGTGGAGGCTGAGGGGGGGTCTCCTGCTATGGGGGATCTGGGAGGACTGTTTATGGCTCTCCTAGGCTTTGGGTCACCTCTGGCACCAGCTGACACATACCCTCACTGTCAAGAGCACAGGCATGCACTGCCTGTGTTCCTGTGGGCCAGCCATGTGTACAAGCACACACGCTGCCCTGCGGTACCCTGGTGTGGCTTGGCTATGGGCCCCGACCCCTGCGCTGTGGCTCTCACCTGCTCTTGAGCGTGTTCCAGTCGGACACCAGCTTCTGCAGGCTCTTCTTGCGCTTGAGGATGGCGGGCAGCTCTTCCTGGGGGCAGCAGGAGAGGGTTCAATGGGCTGGGAGGAGGCAGCTAGTGGTTGGGGGACGGGTGGGGATGGGGAGGTCACCTCGCTCAGCCTGCTGAGCGGCTGCAGGACGTCCCTCTCCAGGGTCATCTCGAACTCGGCCAGGATGCGGGCCAGCTGGTTCTGGATGGCACAGCTCATCTCCAGGGCTTTCCTGCAGAGGTGTGCCTGTGTACCTGGGCTGCCCCAGCCGCCCACCCTGCTGCACACACTTCCCTTCCGCCCAGCCCGCCTCCATCCTCGCTGAGCTGAACACCCTCCCAGGGCCAGCGCCTTCACTGGTCTGGACACTGTCCCCAGCCTGGTCACCACTCTGGCGTGGATGTCCTTCCCAACCTGGACCCCCTCCCAGCCCAGATTTCTTCACATCCCCTGGGGAGGGCTGGGCCCCCCTGTGCTCACCCCATGCTGGAGTCGGGGTCCAGCTCCCTGAAGCTCTCAGCCATCGTAGTGGACAGAGCCATGAGGGGAAGCTTCTTCTGCAGGGAGGGTGGGGCCGGCTGTGAAACTGTGGCCTGTGCCCCTCTGCCCACCCAGAGCCAGGAGAGCCGCTGCGGGCAGGAGGGAACCCGGCAGGCCCCAGGTACAGACGAGTGTGGAAACAGGGGGAACGTACAGAGCCCCATCCATCTAGTCCTCTTCCTCCCTCCCAGAAGCTGCTGACCCGGCAGGAAGGAGTGCGTGAGAGCCACTGCGGGCTGGGAGCTTGCCCAAAGCCTCGGAGCGGGGCTCCTTCCCCAGCCCTGACCACGTGTGGCTGACCTAACCACCACTGAGCTTGAACCCTCCACGGCTCCCAAGTGCGTCCTCTGTGCCCTGGCCACACCGAGCTATTATGAGGATGATGGTTCTCGCCATAGGGTGTGTGTGCTCAGAGAGAAACAGTGAGAGAGAGAAAAGTCACCCCTCTGGGAGGATGGCCACACCAAAGTCCCTTCTCCATTCTCCTCCTGAAATTTTGGGCATTCAGACACACGTGCCCAATGTGATTTTCAAGTGGCCAGGTCCGGGACTCAAACTGTGGTTAGCCATGTGGGAGTCTGGCATCCTAACCTGCTGGCCCCCACACTGAATTGACTGACTCCAAAACATGCCTCCCACACTCCCACCTAGAGTTAGGAAGAACATTAGCTTTCGGATCAGCGTAACTTGGGTTCAAACCTCAGTTGTACCACTTACTAGCTGGGACCTTGGGCAAGTAACCCTGAAGATGTAAAGCAGTGTTTCTTGCTAAGGTGGCTGCCAGCATTCAGGGTGACTATGTACTAGCACATCTTAGCCACAGGGTCATCGGTCACTAACTGCTACCTATTGCTTAACACCAGTGAGTACAGTTCAAAATCCAGCCCAAATGCCACTTCCTTCGGGAAGCCCTCCCAGGTTGCCCAACCAAGAAAGCCTGCTCTGCTGATGGGACAGAGAAGTGCAGGTGCTGCCCTAGGCCCTGGCTCATGAGGATAGTTGCAGAGGGAAGAGAGTTAGAAAGGGATAGGAAGACATAGCTCCCTTTTTGCAGCACCTGAAGGGCCTGGGACAAGGTGGTCTCCATGCCTGTGGTGCCAGAGGCTCAGGCGGATCTTGCTCCCCGTGGACAGTGCTTCCTGCTCAGGCCCCTGCTCTCCGGGACCCCACTCACCACCCGCTTGTCCATGTCGGCTCCACTCTGGCCCTGCATGCAGGCCTGCAGCCGCTTCTGGACATTGTGGGCTGCTCGTTTGGCTGGCTCCAGCCGCTGCTCCACCTGGAAGGGAAGGTGGGGTGCAGATCTAGGGAGGCGGCTGGTCCCCCTCCTTGCACACTTTCTCCCAGAGCAGAACCACTTTTCTCTTCCCTGCTCCTGGAGACCCCCTGGCCACAGCTTGGGGATGACTCAGCCCAGGTCCCCAGCTGGTCCCCGCCCGGCCCTCTGCCTGACAGCCTGCACAGGCCTGCCTTCCCACGGAGCCAGCCCAGGCACGCACCTGCAGCAGGTCCTCTCCCAGGAACTCGGCAGTCTCCGGGGTGCTGCGGGGAGAGTGCAGCCTGAGTTAGGGAACCCCTGTTGCTCCCACCTCCAAGTGGGGTGCCTGGATCCCCATTGTCTCTAGCACCCCTCCCAGGTGGGGCCCGCCCTGGGTGGCCCATCTGCCTCATCCCAGTTGGAGCACATTCCATGGGGCAGGAAGAGGATCTGGGTTTTCCTCCTCCACCCAGGCTGTGTCCCGAGAGAGGGCGATGGCCGAAACTGACATGGGGGCTGGGGTGCCAGCCCAGTTGTGGGACACAGCAAAACCTTTCCTCTGCCCCACCAAACTGAGTCTGCCCTGGGGCAGGGAGGCCTGCGCTGGCCCCGAGAATGGGAAGTGTGGGTGCTCAGCCGCCTGGTATCAGCCGCGCAGGGCTCTGGGCTGTGGCTGTGGGCAGGAGAAGGAGGGCCTGGAGCCCTGGCTGGGGACACTGAGGCCCAGAGCGAGATGGCCTGAGTGCCCGGGCTCACGCATGCGTCTGTACCAGTGTGAGACTAGAATCTGGTCTCTGGACACGGTCTCCTCCCCGGCCCCAGAGAATGGGGAACTCCTGAGGGTGGAGGAAGAGGAGCAGAGAAGCTGGGGCTCAGAGGCTCCCCAGTTTCCGGTTTCCGCTGCACCAGCTCAGGGTATGGGGGTGGGACCAGGAGACCTGGGGATGTTCCCACCTGAGTCTGGGAAAAGCAGAAGCAAGACAGAAGCAGGAGGCCCCTGGCTGGGGGAGGGGACAGGCCACTGCAAGGCAAGGCCCGAACTCCTCTCCTCCCCTACCCCAGGGTCTGGGGCCCTGAGCTACCCTTCCCGTCCCTTCCCCTAGCCAGCAACTAGAGATGGCAAACTGTTCCCAATGTCCAGAGGGGACAAGTGAGGCCAGGGACAGCCAGTCACTCAGAGGCTCAAGGGGGTGGAGAAAGCCTAGCGTCCTTGGTCACGGGCATTCTTCCTGCTGCAGCCCCCTCCCACCCAACCAGCCACGGGGCGCCTCCTCCCCCACGGACCAGCTCCTGTCCCCCTGCTCTGCCGGAGAGGTAGGGGCGGTGGACAAGAGTGGGGGAAGACAGGGCAGGGCTCTGGCCGTCAGAAGATGGGTGTCCAGCTGTCCCCAGTCTCGTCCACCCTGGTCTCCCGGCTTACCCTGTTCAGGTCCCACCAGGACAAGAGTGGGGCTGGAAGAACGGGTGGCACTCACCGTCCCAAACTGCCCGACTGGGCCAGCTGCCGCATGCGGTGCAGCTGTCTCTTCATCATCTTGGAGGCGGACTGGGGGCTACAGGTCAGAGCGCGGGTCGGGGGTCGAGGGCCCAGCAGCCCCCGGCCCAGCCTGCCTCCGGGGCCGCGCGCTCTGGGCCGGATGGGTGGGCGGCGCGCGGGCTTCCTGGGCCGCGCTCGCTGGGCTGGCTCTCTCCTCCCCGTCACGACTCCGCCCCCGGCCCCCAGGTCACTCCTCTCCAAGTTGGTTTCTCGCTCTCCCCCCGCTTCCGGCCCTGCACCGACCCCGGCGGCCCAGGGAGCCTCTGTCCTGTGGCCGCCGCGGGCAGACCCCAGGTTGGACGC